GACCAGACTTAACTGCCCGTCTGCGCGTGCAACACAAGGTCTGGGATGATAGGGCGACAACAGTGCCGCAGCGAATGCAAAACCAGTCGCACAACAGCGCAGGCAATAATGATGTAAGACGGCTTAAGAGGGAAAAATCTGGCAAACGAATATTAATGCCAGTTCGGTAGGTAAAGACTCACTTTGCCGTGAAGACATTCTCGCGAAGAATACACATGTTCGGCTCGTGGGTTGCAAGACCAAGAAAAATCTGGAAAAAACCGTGGCAGAAAAATAGAAGACAATGAAGGAAGGGCAAAAGAGGAAGAAGAAAAGGGACGAACGCTGATGCCGCTAGCGAAGGGAGGGAGTGAAAAGGGGAGTGGCTGTTTATTTGCTCACCATAGCTGTCGGTCCCTAGTTCTATTTGGGCAATAGGCATGCGGGTTAGTTATAATGGAGGTGACTGTAGTGGGCGTCCACGCTTCACCATTAACAACGAAAGGCCTAGTGTTTATCAAAATTAGAAGCGTCATGAAACAGTTGCCCAGAAGTTATGTTAAAAGACAACATTTTCTACTTTTGTCTTCTTTTCACGATCTTTTCGTGATTAAAGTACTGAAGAATACTCAACGGGATAAGCGGTCAGGGGAGACATAAAATGAACAGAGTAGGTGCATGTCGAACTTACCAAATCAGCATCCATGCCATAGAGACAGTGTCGTTCTACAGGACGATAGTCCGGAAGGCTACGCTTGTAGGACATATACTCGCGGATTTTTTGTTCCCCCTCTCCGGGTGACTGATAAAAATCCAAAAAATAACAAGCATAGGGATTACCTGCCAAGGTTGGGTTAAAGATGATTGTGAGAGGAGGGGTAGGGAAAATTGATGGCTCCTCTGGAGCGCCGCACAGTAACATTACAGAATTGACCACCTTGTTTACGTGCCCAGAGATTTACGGCTTCCTGGTCAGCAGGCTGCAAAGTATGAGCCCGCATCCACACACACACACACACTGCAGCACAGAAGCCGAGAAGCTGCGGGAGCGTAAAACCCTATGGCGCCTCTTCCTTGCCAATGGATATCCACGGAGTTTTGTGAACAAATGATTGTACCGAGGGCACACGAAGACGGACGGTGAGCAGAAACAAAGGCCAGAAATCTTCCGTGTCTTGCCCTACGTGAGTAACGTCTCCGAAGCCACTGAGCGCATGCTAAGGCCGCTAGGCGTGGGCGTTGGATACCGACCGGAGGCCACCATCCGCCGCCTAATCATGCAGCCCAAGGACCGGCTACCACCTGCAGACATTTCAAGCGTCATTTACCGCGTCAAATGTCTGGACTGCCTAGCCAACTACTGTGGCATGACCGACAAACGCCTAAGAACGCGCATGCATGAGCACGCTTTGGCCGTAAAGCGAAAGGACGTATGATCGCATGTCGCCATGCACTGTCTGAAATATAATCCCAAGTTCGACTTTGACGGCACCCAAGTGCTTGGCCGAGCCGAAAGCAAACTGGCGAGGGAAGAAATCGAGGCCTGGAAATCAGACACCAACTCGATCAACCGCAGTATCGATTTGCCAGCGCCATACAAGGCCATCAGGCACCATTTACGCGCGAGAGGAGGGCCAATCAGAAGAGAACGGGACGAACCTATCGGATGCGGGCGCAGATGGCCAATTTAAACCCTGTATTTCTCACTTAGTCTATCTCCGATGATGTGCTCGAGCATGGACGCGGAACGTCAGATGAATAAACCTTCTTCCCTAGAGATTGCCTCATCTTCCTCTTCCATATATACATATATATGGAAGGAGGTAAAGAGATCTCAACACCTGGGGTCGGCATTTTCGCCTATATCCAACATATATTTATATATATGCAGAATTATATTACCGACAAAGACAAGGGAGACTGGAATGGCCATTTCTGGCTTATTAGCCGTCGTCAGCCAGCCATACCCAAGCCCGAAGTGTGGAACACCCGTGCCTCGAACTCGCGACCTGTTGGTTTAGAAGTCCACGCCTCTACCCACCAGGCCACGAGCCCGTTGCCCTGTCGGTTTTCGATCGGGAATATACAGTGGTAGGGGGCGCTCACCGATCGTTCATACGGAACTCACTCATTTATATTGATATTTATATTCAGATTTCTCAAAAACGAACAGACATGGAGCCAAAAAGACATGTAGAGGAGAGGAAGAGACAGCTAGCGCGGCTACCGCTACCTTAACGACAAGTTTATGTAACGATTGAGGGAGGAACTAAACTACAAACTAAGAGGTAATACTAGAACGTGTAGTGTAGACTGGGATGAACATTCTGGCCTATTTCCGTCATCAGACAGCCGTTCCATAATCCTAGGCAGGGAAAGTCTGAGAACTGAAACAGGGTTCAATTGACCGTAGGACCCAACACCCCACAATTTGAGCCCCGGATGTCGTAGGACACCCAAGAAAGCCCATTGACATTGTTTGAGCATGTTGTTCATAACTCATGCAATCCGTATAATGCTGATGGCCTGAACTGAAGAATTTCCAGATGAATGGCGGCGATGAGGGGACGAGCGCTAAACCTGGCTCGACAATTTCCGTCAAGACATGGAGATGGTATTTTGACCTTCGATATCCGGTCTTCGTCACCGGAGTCGATACAGTTCTTCCAATCCGATAACGTAGATCGTCACCTGTGGAAAGGCGTTATCCGCTACATCACCGAGACCAGACAGCTCGGGCAGGATCACAGAGGATCACGAAGGAGAATAAGACACACACAAAACTCGGGTATCATGTGAAGTGCTTGTAGTGTGCGTCACATCGAATAGGAATTATTTTGACAGTATATGCCGCACCGTTTCGCTTGCGACTGCTTAGCAGAAAAAAAGGTAATGGTTTACACTGGATCACCCTTGCTATCCTGGATAGAATTTACGTAAGCTTTTGACGCCAGGTGTACAATAAACAATGCGTGTTAGAGGTAGTGTGATCGAGTGGTGCTGGCGTGTTACGCGAATTGCAACAAACAAGCTGACATTAGGCGACTGACATACGTCTATAGCATACCCGAGCGTAAAGAGACTACTTCTTTCGATTTAAATTGGAGGAGTCTATTAACCGACATCGTAGATAAAGGGAATGAAGGTGGGGCGGAGCATATATAAGAAGGGCGAAACGGACGGGGGTCCCAAAACCCAACAGGTACGAAGGTGCATCAGGGCACTTGACGAAGAGACCCGTAGATCGGATTAAAAAGTAGTCACCTAAAACAGATTAGACGAAATTGCCTTAAGAACTTGGTCTTCCCGGTCGATTAAGCTTAAAGACGGCAACCAGTGACCACCTAGCTGTCACGCGACTCCAATGTGTGAGAAAATGGAGAGAGAGGGCTACAAAAATACGAGATCGTTTAGAGGCGCACACAAAAGAGACGAAAATCAAAGTCCCGTTTGGCGAGGAGCTATAAGTCATGGAAAAAAGCATCTGGGTCGATCAGACAAGACAACGAGGCTGGTGTGCATAAAACTCGATGGGGTCTCCAAAGGCCAAGAACCCGACAACAGCAACTGAACGACAATTTGACAACAGGTAGCTTGAGTATACACGGCCGCGCGCAATGCTTCCAGGGAATTATGGTGATTATTGGCAGTCTTATCGTCCGCCAAACGCAAGGAGTGAACAAAAGATAATCAATCCGTTTACCAACGCGGAGCAGCGGACGATCCGAAGCAACGACGTAAACAAATAACACTCAAAGGCCAGTGGTCACCATGCAACCATCTCCGCCCTTATTTGGGCGGCTTTCCTCAGTACTCGCAGGGATCAAAAAGAGGGTACTAGAAGTATTAGTAGCAGCCGCAGCAAAACTAGTGGTATTAACAGTAATAAGAGCATTAGTGTTCGAAATACTGGTAGTAGTAGTAGTAGTAGTTGTTGTTGTTGTTGTGACCTATATTGGAGAGCGGTATCCGTCCGGTGCGACAAGACAGTCCTATTTAGGGAGAGAATTGCTTTCCCAGAGAAGGGCAGGGGCTATAAAAGGTGCCCTAATAAAATTGGGTTCATCATATCTGAGCGCAAGCCGTGACTCGCAGGCTGCAATACCTGCGGTTAAAACCAACAAAACGGAAACAATACTCCCTCTTCCTCCCCTTCCCTCCACCCCATAGGCTGCTGGGATGGGCCCGCTCACGCTGACAGTCTGGAATGTTCATTTCCTTTTCTACGAAAACCTGCGTCTGTGCCGAAGGCGGATAAGTTGACTGTCCTTTGTGACTTTAACGTCCGTGTAGGCAAAGACCACGCTGTGTAGAGAGGAGTGCTGCGCGCCCACGGAATCACCAGCTGCAGCGACAATGGCCTCCTCCTGAAAACCGGGATGGCTAGCAAGGCAGAGGAGATCCAGGAGTATGCTGACCAGAACGAGTCAATGAACTTCTCTGCTACGATCAAGCCGATTTACGGCCCCAAACCAAAGGAACCGCGCCGCTTCCATACTCCGATGGATCAAGGCTTCTGACAGAGAAGTCGCAGATTCTGAAGCATTGGGCCGAGCACTTCAGAAGCGTCCTCAACCAAACCTTCCCAATCTCCGACGCCGCTATCGAACGACTCCCCCAAGTGGGAATCAACATCAACCTGCATCTTCCACCCTCTCTTGCAGAAACCATCCGTACCGCGCAAAAAAATCACCCGCAGGAAAGCACCAGGTTCCGATGCGACCCCAGCTGAAATCTACAAACACGGCGGTCACCGACTGATGGACCAAATCACGGCGCTATTTCAGACGATGTGGCGCTGTCGACAAGTTCTTTAGGATTTCAAGGAGGCGACCATCTCTCATCTGCACAAGCTCAACGGGGAACGGCAACTTTGCGACAATCACAGGAGCATCTCACTACTCAGCATCGCCGGGAATATCTTCGACCGCATCCTCCTCAATCGTCTTAACAGCCACCTACAGCAAGGACTTTTGCCAGAAAGCCAACGTGGATCCCGGCGATACTGCGCAATCACTGATATGGTCTTCGCCGCCCGCCAGCTACAAGAGAAGTGCCAGGAGAGGCGGACTCACCTCTGCACTACTTCCGTGGATCTGACAAAAGCCTTCGACACCGTGAATCGCGAAGAACCGTGGAGAAACATGCAGAAGCTCGACTGTCTCGAGCGATTCACGCACATGGTACGTCAGCTCCACGGTGGGATGGTGGCGCGTGAAACAGACAACGGCGCAATCTCCGAGGCATTCGTAGTGATCAATGGAGTGAAGCGGGGATGCGTACTTGCGCCCATCCTCTTCAGTCTCATGTTCTTTGCCATGTTGATGGACGCCTACCGTGACAAGCGCTCCGGGATCCGCATCGACTACAGGACCGACGGGCACCTTCTCAACAGCCGAGGAATGAAGGCCCCGACGATCTGCTCTTCGCCGACGACTGAGAACTCAGCTGCACGACCGGAGAAGACATGCCGCGGAGCATAAACCTATTCGCCTCCGATTGAGCACACTTCGGACAGACCATCAATACGGACAAGATGGTGATTATAGATCAACAGCTATCGAACACTGAATACAGTGTCCCTCGCATCCGCGTCAATGGCGTCGAACTGAGGCCCGTGGCAGCACAATGTCACGCTGTACCGAAATCAGCGACGAAGTGGCCCACGGAATCTCCAAAGTTAGCCAAGACTTCGGCCGGCTGAAGAGTTGCTTGTGGAATTGCTACGGTCCTTAACACCAAATTGAAGATGTACAAGGCCGTCTTCCTGACGACACTTCTCTTCGGGGCGGAAACTTGAACCGTCTACTTCAGTCATGCCAGGAAACTCAACCACTTCAACCTCAGCTGCCTTGGCAGGCTATTAAAGCTGAGATGGCAAGATAGGATCCCCGACACGAAGTTCTGGAACGGGACGGAATCCTCAGCATCCACGACATGTTGAGGCAACTGCAGCTATGTTGGGGCGGCCATCTCGTGAGGATGGAAGATACACGCCTACCAAAACAACTCTTCTATGGTGATGTCGCCGCCGGTGCTCGCCGACCGGAAGGACCAAAACGAGGCTACAAGGACACATTGGGGAATCCTCTTGAGTGGTTGCATATCAACCCAGAGACCTGGGAGGAACCCCGCCTAGAACAGACCGACCTGAAAACGAGAAGTGAAGACTGGCGCAGTCGTTTACGAAGCAAACGGGATAGCCGTCGTCGAAGCCAAAAGGCTGTTCGCAAGTCTCAGGCATCTCCGATTCTCAACGTCGCCACTCAACCCCACCCAACGTGCCCGCACTGTCAAAGAGCATTTTGCACGCGGATCAGCCTCGTCGGTCATCTTGGGACCCAATGCACCAACCGCCCGAGGACCGCAATTGCTGCCACCACGACCGCAGCTGCTTCAACTTCGAAGTCGACCACATCGACACCCACCCTCGCTACTGTTGATTCGAACCCTCGTGTCCCACTGCCGTCGGCCACTACCACCTACATTATCTTTGCCTCAACCACGGCAATGACGTGGAACACAACCACCTCTGCCACCACCGCCAACG